GCTCACTTGCACTCTCAGTCCCATCATGCCCATCATGCTGTTGCTGAACCACAACACCTCCCAACAACTTATAGTTTTGGGAGACTTTAACATTCACGCCGAGACCACATTGTCAGATGCAGCTCAGGATTTCATGGTTGCCATGACGACCATGGGGCTGACTCAAGTAATATCTGGCCCCTTGCATCAGGTGGGACACATGTTGGACCTTGTTTTTCTTGTGGACAGTGGGACAGTCAGAGTGGAAGAGCAAAACATTCTTCCATTGTCATGGTCTGACCATCATCTGATCTGTTTAAGATTAGCCATGCCCTCTAACCTCTGCAGGGGTGGTTGACCCATTAAGATGGTCCGCCCCAGGAGGCTGATGGATCCAGAAGGACTCCTGAGGTCTCTTGGGGATCTTCCTGTCCTGGAGACTGGTGATCCTGTCGACGCCCTTGTTGATTGCTATAATAGTGAGATGTCCAGGGTGATTGACACGATCGCTCCCGAAAGTCCCCTCACCTTGCCGAACGTCCCCTCACCTTGTATTAGGGTTTATACCGTGGCTTTGCGAACAGCCAGGAAAACATTCTTGACTGCTCGCATAGCATCTGCAGCAAATAGACCGTCTGAGTTGTTCCGGGTTGTTGGGGAGTTCCTCTGGCCTCCTGAGGTTGAGGAGCTTCCTGATGACTCAGCAACTCGGTGCAGCAATTTTGCATGCCATTTTGCAGCCAGAGTTGCTCAGATACGTTTTGAGCTGGACTCCAGTTTAAACGCAGTGCCAGATGAGGTAACCGAGAAACCTGTCTGTTCGATCTTATGGGATTCTGTCCACCTTGTTCATCCTGATGACGTGGAGGGGATTCTTGGGGCAGTGAGGGCGACCCTTGCCCTTCCTGGTTGGTTAAGCTGGCCAGAGAGGGGTTGTTGGAATGGTTTGTTGCGATAATAAATGCCTCATTGGGCCAGGGGAAATTTCCATCCTGCCTTAAGCAGGCGGTGGTAAAACCTCTGCTAAAGAAGGCCTCCCTTGACCCGACTATATGTGACAACTACAGACCAATTTCCAACCTCCCTTTTCTGGGCAAGGTTCTGGAGCGGGTGGTTGCCTTGCAGCTCCAGGGATTCCTCGATGACACCGATTTTCTAGACCATTTGCAGTCTGGCTTTTGGCCTGGGGACAGTACCGAGACAGCTTTGGTCACCTTGGTGGATGACCTACGTAGGGAACTAGACGGGGAGCATGACCCTGCTTGTTCTCTTGGACATCTCAGCAGCTTTCGATACCATTGACCATGGTATCCTTCTGGGGAGGCTCGCTGGGATGGGACTCGGGGGCACAGTTCTTCTGTGGCTCTGGTCCTTCCTGGAGGGTCGCTCCCAGTCGGTGAAGCTCCTGCTCAGATCCCTGGATACTGGACCAGTGCCTGGCTGCTGTGATGGGCTGGATGAGGATGAACAAGCTGAGGATCAGTCCTGACAAGACAAAGGTCCTCCAGGTCAGTCGTCCGTCTGATCGGGGTATTGGATGGCAACCTGTGCTGGACGGGGTTGCACTCCCCCTGAAGTCACAGGTCTGCAATTTGGGTGTTCTCCTAGACCCAGCGCTGACGCTTGAAGCACAGGTGTTGTCGGTGGCCGAAAGAACCTTTGCATAATTAAAACTCGTGCGCCAACTGCGACCATACCTTGTGAAGTCTGACTTGACCATGGCGGTCCATGCCTTAGTTATCTCTAGACTGGATTACTGCAATGCACTCTACGTGGGGCTACCCTTGAAGACGGCCCGGAAATTACAACTTGTCCAATGGTCAGCAGCCAGATTAATAACTGGGGCGACTTACAGGGAGTGGTCAACCCCCCTGTTTAAGGAGCTCCATTGTCTGCCGTTCATCTTCCGGTCCCAATTCAAGGTATAGGATCTTACCTATAAAGCCCTAAACGGTTTAGGACCCGCCTACCTTCGTGAACGTATCTCCCTCCATAAACCAGCCCGAACTCTTCGATCTTCGGGGAGGCCCTCCTTTCGCCCTTGCCAGTCTCTCAAGCCTGCCTGGTGAGTACAAAGGAGAAAGCCTTCTCCTCTATGGCCCCCCGACTCTGGAACTCATTGCCCAGAGAGATTAGGAAAGCCCCTACCTTAGAAACCTTTAAAAAGAATCTCAAGACCTGGCTCTGCCATTGCACTTTTGGAGAGTAGTCACACAATCTTATTCTATTGCTCTCTACGTTCTTGTCCTAGGAGTACACCCCCTCCCTTGTATGATGGTCTGTTTATTACTCTGTCTCTCCATGTGTTCTCCCTTACACATAATTCTGCTCGTTTACCTCACCCTGAGTTTTTCAATTATTTTATGTACATGTGGCCTGCTCACTGTCATTATGTTTGGATTACTGCTTCCCCCCCCCGCTTGTTTTGTGTATATTGTTTATTATGCTTATATGTTTTGTAATTTAATGTGATGTTGTTTATTTTATTGTTTATTATTTTATTTTATTGTAATTTGTTGTTTGGGCCTGGCCTCATGTAAGCCGCCCCAAGTCCCTGTTGGGGGAGATGGTGGCGGGGTATAAATAAGATTATTATTATTATTATTATTATTATTATTATAAAAGCTTTTGTTTCTTCTGGACACTGCCTGCTTTGCTTGGTTTCTTTCATGCCATAGGAATTAACTGGCCACAGTTGGTCTGACCCCACCTTGGGACCCAAAGGCTGCCCCTCCCGTCAGTATGGAGAATGGGGCACCAGAAGCCCACACACCTGGACCCAAATGGGCTCAGGGGTAGGGCAAGGGATCTCTTAGCTTTTGGATATTGAAATTTTCCCTGATAAAAAGAAAATACAGGGAGGGTAAACAAATGGATTCTTTGTGTGATGTTTCCAAACATGGGCAACGATGGATGAACACCCATAGAGAGCAATGTGTAATGGGACATCAGAACTTGAAACAGGACAGTTGGGCATCTAACAGTATGGAGCTCATTAGATGGGGCCTTCTGCTGGCAGCAGCCACGGAAGCCCAATTATTCCTAATGGCAAGGCTGGGGCACCCGTTGCTTTTCGCCCCACCTCTCCATGTTTCGCCAGTCTAGCACTGGCATCACACAGCCAAAAAGGAGGTGCATGTGTATCAATACACACTCAGTGACTTCCGTTCTTGTCTCTGGGCATATGATGAGGTCCTAAGATTTCCTTTACTAGACACACAGTCCCTAATGCTTCTCAAGGCCCGTGTGATGTATTGAAAGGGGATTAGATTGACATTTGCACGTCGTATTGGCTTATCAGGGCCATGTCTTTGAATTCTACTGCATTGAATCCTAGAATTGGAAGAAACCCAAAGAACTGGAAGAAACCTCATCCACTCCAGCCCCATTCTGTCAAAGAGAAAGACACAATCCAAGCACTCTCTTCTTCTGACCGGTGTGCTCCTGCATGGTGCGCTCTGTAACATGGAGATAGGGGGAAAGGAGGCTGAGGGGAGTGTGCCAGGGAGCTGTCTACTGTGGCTCCCAACCTTTGTTCCTCCAGGTGTTTGGGACTTCAACTCCCAGAAGCTCTAGCTATCTCAACCGACTGTCAGGAATTCTGGGCAGTGTAGTCCAAAATAACTAGGAGGAACAAAGGTTGCAAATCACTGCAGTAGGACATTGTTTGGGTTCACAATGCTCTCCGGATGTAGGTGACCTACACCGCCCCAAAATCACTGTCAAATCCTCCCAAACCTCTCCAGTATTTTCCTTTGGTCATGAGAGTTCTGTATTCCAAGGTTGGTTCAATTCCATTGTTGATGGTGTTCGGAATGTTCTTTGATGGCAGGTATACTATACTTCCAAGAAACTCCAACTCCCACATGTCGGGGTCTATTTTCCTTAAACCTCTCCAGTATTTTCTGTTGGTCATGGGAGTTCTGTATGCCAAGTTTAGTCCAGGCCTGTCATTTTTGGGGGTCTCAGTGGTCTGTGGAAGCCAGAGCTGAATCGGTTGAACATACTGCAAATCTCATCATCCACTGACTATACTTCCCCAAACATATTATTTTTGAGATTAATCACTGATTAATCTCAAAAAAATTACTAATTATGTTCTATTTGTAACAATGAAAATACCTTCTGCATATCAGTAGCAACTAAAATAATTTTATGGTTGGGGGTCACGACAACATGAGGAACTATATTTAGGGGTCACGGCATTAGAAAGATTGAGAACCACTGGCTTAGATGGTGCTTTCCTTTATGGAAGGCTGGGCTGGATGGCCTTTCGGGGTCCCTTCCAATTCTAAGATCCTAAGAATGACGTGGCTGGTCCATGCGTCTGGTTAATGATCGCCTTTTCCCAAGGCCAATAAGGAACCCAAATTGGTGATATTGGCAACACAATATCTTGTTTATGGTCTCACTCCAGGCGGGATCATAAACAGCAGGCAAGGGGCCAGCGCAAACTTCCCGGCCATGTGCCACAATTACAGCACATGAATCTGTACCAAAGGTCTTCTGGACTCTTCCAGATCTGTCTGGAGAAAAGGGGACTTCTTGCAATAGAGCCGTTGAGTTTGCAGGTCGTCTTCATTCCCTATTCACACCTTGGTCCATCCTGTTGTTATTGTCCCTATTTACACCTTGATCCATCCTGTTGTTGTTGTTGTTGTTACATGCCTCTAAGACATTGCCAACTAAGGCAAAAACCAACAGTTTATTCAAAAGGCACTTCTTGCCACTGCCGTCCTTTGAGGCTGAGAGAGTGTGCCTAACACTAAGAATGAATTGAAAGGAGAAGGGAATATCTTGTTCTGATACATTCCATTCAAGAGTGGTACTAAAAGATGTGTCTACTTTGCAGAATGAATGCAGCTTGACCCCATTCGAACTACTCCTGGAAGTTGTGGTTTTGCAAGGCCTTTATGAAGCAAACTACAACTCCCTTACAATTCCATAGCATTCAGCCATTGCAGTACAAGTGTGGGCAAACTGCATTCATTCTATCAGCCACAGAGACGCAATGTTTGACCTTTTGCCGCAAGAAAGACCGATGCTTTATTGCAAGAAGGGAGCACAGAGATTCAGACGGAGACACAGACCTATATAATGTATTCACATACTGTATATCCAGTAGTCATAAAAGCACCTCAATTAGATTTTAAATAACAGCTCTTTTAGAATAAAAAATACATAGTGTTCAGAATAAAGAATGGCATTGATGGATATATATTGACTCAGATCCCATTTGGAAGGCAGAGGGCACATCTGCACCATATCCTTAGTTTCGTATCACTTTAATCGTAGTAGCTCCATGCTGAGGAATGCTGGGATGTGTAGTTTGCTAAGGGACAGAGGAATCTTGGCCTAGCATTGGGAGGACCTGAAGAGGCCATATGAATGACATCTCCCTGAATTATTAAAATTGCAAATGCTGGGTACATCTACACTGTAGAACTAATCCGGTTTGATATCACTTTAACTGCCATGGCCCAATGCTATGCAATAATGTGAATTATAGTTTCACAAAGACTTTCTCTGCTAAAGAGAGCTGGCGCCTCCCTAAACTCCAAATCCTATCATTCCATTGCAGTCAAAGTAGTGTCAAAGGGTGCTAATTTTACAGTGCAGACGCATCCTTAGAGAGCCAGCTGTGCATCCATGGAATTAAACTGGATGTAACTATCTCTACAAATCCAGGATCAAGTTGATTTATTTCTCAGGCAGGATCTACATTGCAATACAATCAGTATCTGAACCCAGATTATCTGCTTTGAATGGGATTATATGATGCCCATTCTACACTGCCATATAGAATCCAGATTTTTTGCTTTGAACTGCATGATATGGCAGTGTAGACTCATACAATCCAGTTCAAAGCAGATAATGTGGATTATCTGCTTGGAAAATCTGGATTATATGGCAATGTAGAAGGCTCCTTAATCTTCACTGCCATATAATCCAGTTCAAAGCAGAGAATCGGGAATCAGAAATTGGATTATATGGCAGTGTAGATGTCCCTTTCCTTCGCGTTAATGCCATCTAAGTCCCTTTGCAAACAGCAAAGGCGAGGAATCCTCTGAAATGCAGCTGTAATGATACAAGTGGTCTGAAACCGATGCAACAGTGCGGTGAAGATGCTCAGTCATCCGAAGAAAGGGTGTTTCCTGGCACTTGGAGTGGAGAAAGGGTTTGCCACTGGCTTCGAAGAAGAATGAGAAGAAAAGTGGCCGTGGAGGCAAGTTCGAGGGCTGCTAATGCACAGGTCGGTGGCAGGTTTGTGTTTGTCAGCCAAGGCCACAGGGAAAGGCTCCCTCCATAGAAACAGAAATGCAGAGGAGGAAGCCACAGGAGGCCATGATCCGTGCACTTTCCAAGTGGCCCTTTGCCCCGTTGTTCTCGATCCACCAGGGAGGCCTTCCTTCTCCAGCCTTGGAGGACTATTGCTGATCCTTCTATTTACAGCTGCCATCACCCCAAGTCTCCCATTGAATAAAGGGCCCAAATGACCCACATTGTCCTTTGCTGGAGGGTCACCAGGCCAGCGGCGGAGTCACCCTGAGGCTTGGTTGTGCCTCCCCGGTCTGGATGTCACTGAAGGCGCGCTGAGAAGGAAACAAGAGAAAGAGAGATGTTAAGTCATCTAATTAGGACATCCAAGGGCCACTCTATCAGGGGTCCCCAAAATGGCAGCTTGGATTCAAACCTTCCCCTGGATTTTGCAGCCTCCAGATCCTGAGCAGTTTGATCTGAGCCATGCACTTTTAAAACAAAACTGGGCTTATCTGCTCTTCCCCTGCATCTGTGCTTCTTAAATCAAGCACACTGGAACTCTGCATTTCTGTCAAGAACCTTGGGAATAAATGCTTTCTTTCTAGTTCCAACTATTTAGAGTTACTTACAGAGAGGCAGTCAAGACGAAAGAGAAAGTAAAATATGTGTTCAGCTTTTTGAACAATTTCTCCTATCTGTTTAATTCTATTGCCACTCTCGGACATGACTTATGAGCTGGTCACTGTTGCCCAGCCGCAGCCGGATATGACATTCCAGGTCCAGCCTCTCCATGTACTGAGTAATTTATCCCCTCAGTTATCCACGCTATCAGGCACATGTCTTGGGAATGATTTTTCCTGGCCTATAATTAATCAATACATTCTTCTTCCAGGCAGAAAGGCATCATCAAAACCCTCCTGACAGATGGCCACCCAGCCTCTGTTTCATGTAATCATAGGCTTCCAGAGTTAGAAGGGACCCCAAAAGATCTCATCCATTCCAACACCCTTCTACCTGCAGGGAAGGCACCATCAAAGCCCCCCCACCCCACCCCAACAGATGGAAAGTTACAAGTCAAAGGAGAGAGCTCAAACAAATTCCTATCAACAAGCAGGTGCAGGAGGGGGATGCAATAATCAGCTGCTGATAAGAGCTGGAGCTGAGAAGGGACAAACGAAGTGATAGAGATGAGGCATGAATCAGAGAAAATAGCCTGTGTGTATGCTCAAGATTTTGACTTTCAAACTGAGTTGCATCTCAGTATTTTGTGGCACTTTCTTCTGTCCACCCAGCAGGGTGCTTTGATCAATTAAACCTATTGAATGATCTCCTTGTCTCTAGTGTTTGATTGGATAAAAAACCCTGGAGGTTTTTGGGCCATGCAAAGAAGAAAGGGACACGGCAGTGTGTCCCAACAACAGAAGCAGGAGGGACCCCCAGGTCATTCAGTCCACCCTCTTCTGCCTTCATACAGGAGGGCACAATTAAAGCCCTCCTGAGAGATGGCCACCCAACACTGCTTGAAAACCTCCAGATATGCAGACTCCTCCAGACTCCTAGGAAACAAGTTCCATCACTGAACATATCCTACAATCAAAGAGTATTTCCTAATGTTCAGGTGGAATCTCCTTTCTTGCAGCTTGACTCCATGATTCCATTGTGTCCTAGTCTCTGGAGCAGCAGAAAACAAGTCTTGCTTCTTCATTCTCAATGGGGCCTCCTTTCCAATAGTTAAACCTGGCTCTCATGTCCCATTCCCTCAGCCTCTTTTTTTCCAGGCTAAACTTCCTCAGCTCCTTGTTGACAGAAATAATAACCCTTTCCATCCAAAATGAAAGCAAGAAAGAAATATGACTAGATGGACAGATAAATATTATTTGGACGGAAGAGTGTGTGAGCGTAGCTTGCATGTATGCATGCATATATAATACACATATATCACACACACACACACACACACACACACATATGCACTTCCACACCTGTATGGGTTATTATATCAGGAGTAAGGCAGCTTCCACAACAATGGGACAGTGATTCCACTCTGCATTTTAGAGCCAGTCAGAAGATCTTATTTGGTGGAGATGATAGTTCCTTTAAAGTTGGAATCATTGCTTCAATGAGAGGAAAGCTCCTCATCAGGCCTGTGATGCCAATCTAATATATTTCTCACATTGCCAGGAAACCATCACATCAACCCACAATACTGTATTATTCCAGACTGGAATGACCCCATGCAAGGTGCTGAAAGTACTGGAATGATGCCGCAGCTTGGAGAGTTACAGTTAAGAATAAAATCCAGAGCGGATTTGCAGTCGACCGTCCCTAACCAAGGCAACAGACAACTCTTGAGAACCAGACCTCACCTCGAATTTGCTCATGAACTCGGCAAAAATGCCAAAGAAGGCTTCGGAGGTGGTGGCTTTCGTGTCCTCCCCGAAGAAGGAGAGGACCTTGTTGAACTCCTCCATGGCTTTGCATTGAAGGTCTTCCAGGGCCTGGATGGTGGGGTGCGCTGTCTCCAGGAAGGCCTGAAAGGAGGTTCTGCTAAGGACAAAGGGGCCGTAAACATGTACATCTTGCAGCCCACATTCCCTCCAAAGGACCTCACTGCCAAAAACGCATTTATTCAAGAGAGAAATCCAGTTCCAAAGCCATCTTTTTGCAAGAGAAGAAGAGACCCTAAAAGGATCCAAGAGCCAATTTTGGGCTCAACACTGTAGAATTAATGCAATTCGGCAGCATTGGAACTCACATGGCTGACTACTATACATTCTTCGGAATTGTAGTTTTGTAAAGGGTATTTCTATGTTGCATAATAAATGCATCATGGGTCAATGACATGCAATTCCAGGAATTGTAGTTTTGTAAAGGGTACATCTGCACTACATAACAACAACAACAACAACAATTTTATTTCCTACCTACCTCTCTGACCCCATTTGAACTCCCGTGACTCCGTGCTTTCAAATCCTGGGAATTCTAGTTTTTCAAGGGGTAGATTTACGTTGCATAAGGAATGCACTATGACCCCATTTGAATTCCCACAACTCCATGCTATAAAGCCTTGGGAACTGTAGTTTTGAAAGGGCTACATCTACGATGCATAATGAATGCACCATGGCTCAAAGCTATCAAACCCTGGCAATTGTAGTTTTGCAAGGGGTACATCTGCACTGCATAAGGAATGCACCATGGCTCAAAGCTATCAAACCACGGCAATTGTAGTTTTGCAAGGGCTACATCTACACTGCATAAGGCATGCACCTTGGCTCAAGGCTATCAAACCCTGGCAATTGTGGTTTTGCAAGGGCTACATCTTTGCTACATAATGAATGTAACATCACTCAGTGCTATCAAACCCTGGCAATTGTAGTTTTGCAAGGGCTACATCTACACAGCATAATGAATGCACCATGGTTATGAAATCCTGATAAGTGCAGTTTTGCAAGGGCTACATTCACAATGCATCATGCAGCATACACTGCACCATGGCTCAACATTATCAAACCCTGACAATTATAGTTTTGCAAGGGCTATATCTATGCTGCATCATGAATGCACCATGGCTCGGAGCTATAAAATCCCAGGAATTGCATTCTGACCTCATTTGAACTGCCATGGCATAAGGCTATAAAACCCTGGGAATTGTACTTTTGCAAGGGGTAGTGCTGTATACTGAATGCACTCTGACCCCACTTGAACACCCGTGGCTCCATGCTCTGGCAATGGGGCAGGTGTCAGGATGCTCCATTTTCCATAAGGTTGATGCTAAATATCCCCCCTTCTGTTTTGTCCAAAGGATACGTCCATGACGACTGTGAACCTGTCCTCCGGGGAAAGCACCATGTTCTGGCAGGCTTCTTCAATCTCCTCGATGGTGGTCCGGAGGTCATTGAGGTCAGCCATGAGGGTCCTCTGGTTCACTGAAGCAAAAGAAATCGGGAAAATATTAAAGAGATAGTGGTCCCATTGTTATTGAACACTACCATCACCACCCCTAATACAAAAGGATTTATAGTTAGGGGTTTATGGATTTATAGTTTTCCAAGGGCAACATGCCAGAATGAGATATTGACCTCCACCTGACATAGGTCAGGAAGTAAATTCTTCAGCTATTGTTTCACACTGGGAAATGGCCCCCAAGGCATGGCTCAGGACAAAGAAGACTTTGGGTCATTGCAACATCCTTTATTTGGCTGGCCTAAAAAAGAACATCATTATGCTTAGACATCAAAAGTCAAAACTTGAATTCATCCCTTTCTGCGTAACTTTTATCCTTTTATATCATCTATCTATTCATGTATAAACAGTACTTTTATTCTGCTTTATTTTTAAATGTACTTAATATAAGAAATGAAACTGCCTGACCCAAGCCAACATCAGGAATGTCTTCTCAGCCTCAGACAAGAAATATAACAAGTTTATTTATTTATTTATTTATTATTTCGCGTACTTCTATCCCGCCCTTCTCAACCCCCGAGGGGGGGCTCAGGGCGGCTTACAAAAGGCACAATTCGATGCCTATACAATAATACAGATAAACATATATAAACAGCAATTAAACAATTATAACAGTTAAAAACAATCAATTATATATCACAGTCAATAAAATCAATCTCATGCTCAACGTTCGCCAGCTCAGAATCCATAAATTCATTCCACATTGTCAATTCCTATCATTTGTTGTTGTCCTTATTTATCTGCCAGATTACCCAAACGCCTGGTCCCAAATCCACGTTTTTAATTTCCTTCTAAAGGAAAGGAGGGATGTCGATGATCTAATTTCCCCGGGGAGTGAATTCCACAGGTGAGGCGCCACCACCGAGAAGGCCCTACTCTTCGTCCCCGCCAATCTCACTTGTGATAGAGGCGGGGCCAAGAGCAGGGCCTCCCCAGAAGATCTTAAACTCCGAGGTGGGATGCAGAGGGAGATGCGTTCGGACAGATACGCTGGGCCAGAACTGTATAGGGTTTTGTAGGTCAAAACCAGCACTTTGAATTGTGCTCGGAACTGGATTGGCAGCCACTGGAGCTGACATAACAGAGGGGTGGTAGGCTCCCTGTATAACGCTCCGGTGAGTAATCTGGCTGCCTTCTGCTGGACTAATTGAAGTTTCCGAACAGTCTTCAAAGACAACCCCACGTAGAGTGTGTTGCAGTAATCTATTCGGGATGTAACAAGAACGTGGACCACTGTGGCCAGATCCGACTTCCCAAGGTACGGGTGCAGCTGGCGCACAAGTTTTAATTGTGCAAAAGCTCTCCCGGCCACTGCTGAGACCTAGAGTTCCAGCTCAGCGATGAGTCCAGGATCACTCCCAAGCTGCGAACCTGCGTCTTCAGGGGGAGTGTAACCCCATCTAACACAGGCTGTAACCCTATGCCCTGTTCGGCCTTACGACTGACGAGTAGGACCTCTGTCTTGTCTGGATTCAATTTCAATTTGTTAGCTCTCATCCAGTCCGACACAGCAGCCAAGCACCGGTTCAAGGTCTGGACAGCCTCCTTGGTGACAGGTGAGAAGGAGTGACAGATTTGGACATCATCTGCGTAGAGATAACACCTCATTCCGAAACTCCGAATGATCTCCCCCAGCAGCTTCATGTAGATGTTAAATAAGCAATAGGTATCTAGCATCTTTGTTTACCTAGCTTACACCAAGACTACAGAGAAAAGCTTCCATTGTTCTCCAGGGCCTGGGTCTCACAATCCCATCATCCCCACCCTGGATGGTTCAAACTGGAACAATTGACCTGGTTGTATAAAAACTGTTATCCAGAGTACATGCTCTTGTATGCTTGTAATTCTGGAGCAGGAGTTCGCAAGCGTCCCATCCCGGCCAAGATGCAATAAACACCTCTGTTCTATGTCCTAGCTTCACTCGTGAGTTTTTTTAATCTGAAACTTTGGATATTAATTACATTTGGCATAAATGCTCACCAGGCTGAACTCTTTCATTTAATTGCAGACTAAAATTTCATATCACCATTGCTAAAACAAATGACAAAGGCCCATCAGAGGCCCACGGACCTCACCTTTGGCAGCGAGGGGCACCGTGGGCAGGTCCTTGGCAAAGCCCAGCAGCTCCGGGAAATGTTGGCCCAGCGATTTGGCAAGGATGTGTAGGAAGGTGGACTTCCCATCGACTGTCTTGGTGGTGTTCAGCTGGGATGAAGAAAAAGGAATACAGTTAGGGGAAGTCCTTGCACCACTGGCCACTATAAACTCCCCATAGTTCATTGGAAAGTATTGCTAGATCTGTTTTCATAGCCACTCAAACCCCCAAAGAGGTAGATTAAAAAATATTGCAAGATAGTCAGTAGAACTCCTGCCAACAAGGTGTCCACATGTCCACTAAAGGTCCCCAAGAGATACATTTTTTAAATATATTGGAATATAGTCTGTGGAACTCTCTGCCACCAGTTGTATTCTGGACACTGAAGTCTCCAAAGAGGAGACTATACATATTTGAATATTGCCAGTGGAACTCTGTGCCACATGGTGCACAATACAGTCCACAAAGAGAATGATTTAAAAGTATTTGAAAAATAGTCAGTGGAACTCTATGCCCAATTTGTTCTGTGTATTATATGTATTTTGTAAAAATACAATGCAATATTAGTATTTTATATAATATTTATTATGTGTTTTTAGCTATGAATGTTTGTCATTTATATGTTGTGCTCCGCCCTGAGTCCCCTTTGGGGTGAGAAGGGCGGAATATAAATGCTTTAAATAAATAAAATAATGATGCACCCCATCCTAAGCCACGAGGAATAATAATAGGTTGTTGTGAGTTTTTCAGGCTGCATGACCAAGTTCCAGAAGCATTCTCTCCTGACATTTCATCTGCATCTATAGCTGGCATCTTCAGAGGTCTGTTGGCAATAAGGCAAATGGAGTGTATATTTATCTGTGGAATAAAGTCCAGGATGGGAGAAAAAACCCTTGTCTGTTTAAAGCAAGTTTGGATGTTACAGTAAGCAAGCTTGAATAGCCATGAATCTGCAAAGTCAAACAGTGAGGGTATCTGCATAGAGGTAGCCTGGCCTTTGTTGCCTGGAGGCAACCTGTTTGGGAAGTGTTCACTGGCACTTGATTATTTGTTGCCTGGAGCGATCCTGTCTCTGGGTTGTGTTCTTTATTTACCGTCATGCTTCTGGTGTTTTTAATACTGGCAACCAGCTTTTGTTCATTTACATGGTTTCTTCCTTTCTGTTGAAATTGTTCATGTGCTTGTGGATTAACGCCTCCCAAACAGAGGATGCCTCCAGGCAACAAAGCCCAGGCTACCTCTATGCAGATACCCTCACTGATTGATTTTGCAGGTTACTCAATGCTATTCAAGCTTGATCAGCATAGGACTTGGGGACACAGATATGGGAACACGGGGCGCTTCCTTTCGCTTCAAGCGGTGCCTTTGTCCGGTGCTGCTTACCTCAGTCAGGAAGTTGATCTTGAAGCCGGTGGTCTTGTTGGCCTTTGGCTGACCGTGGTTCAGGTAGTTGCCCATGGCCAGTACAAACTGCAAAAAGGGAATCCAATGTAAATAATAATCCTTTTGGGGAAGCCCACTGATTGCACCCCATCTTTATCCCTGCCCTGCTTCTAAGACCTTTTGAGACCTTTCCCTCCCATTTATTTCAAGTCTGAAAGCGATGGTGATTCTTCCCTTTGGCACTGATCTGCTCCAGGTTTTGGAGAGAGCTCCAAATTCCTTCGAAATGATCGAAAATGACGGCAAAACCAAGAATGGATCAATGCCGCCCTACTGGGTTGGAACTATTGATCCCTTGGGATACAAAGCAGGCTAAAGTGTCACCCTTTGGACTACAAATCCCATCAAAGACAATGGTGGGAGAATTTGTATTCAGTGCCAAATTTGTTTGTCTCCAAATTAAACATTTGCTGGAAAACTAATATTGATAACAACAACAACAATTTTTTTTACTGCAATGATAGTTAAATCAGTTTAAGGCACTTCCGTGTGGTCCCAATATGGCACCGTTGTGAGTCACTTGAGTCTAGAATACCGTGTCTCCCTGGTAAACATGGTACCTTAGGCCCCATTAGACCTTTGACCCTTCTCCTCCTTACCGAGGAGTCAAAGGTGAGAACTGTATCTCTCCTTCCTCCTTCTGGAAAGGGAAGCACGCTCTGGCAGTAACTGGGAGTTAAAGGGTAGCCAGCCCAGCTAACCAAGTGCCATTCATGGCCTCATTATGGAGCATTAGGTCACGTTTTGGCTCCTTCCAAGGGGGCAAACTACAACTCTCAAGGAGCAAAGGATGGGGGTTGTAAGTGTGATCGTTTTTTTCAGCTTGCAGAATGGATGCCAATGTAGAATTGCAGTCCTTCTCTGCCCTGTGATACAAAGGGAGGAATCTCAGGGCGAGAGTGCCACCTTGGAACAAATCATTCTCTTCTTCCTAGGCTGAGGATTCTGCTGGAAGACGCAACAATTGGGGGAAAGACCACATATTGCAAACCTTCATTTCCAGCTTAGGGCACCTTAAAGCAAATTTATGGCAAGATTGGGCCAAAAGGGGGGATTCCGCCTTTTGTTTGAGGCTGAGAGAATGTGACTTAGTGAATTTCCATGGCAAGGATTTGAACTCAGATCCCTAGAGTCATAGTCCAATGCTCAAACTTGGATCTTGAAGAGGCATCATCCTAATATATTTCTGCTTTGAGTCTCTTTAGAGAGAGATAAAGCAGGATAATAATAACAACAACAACAACAATTTCCAGCTTTGACCTCAAATCCCATCTTAGAACAGAGTTGCCGGCTACCCTTCTTTCTGGGTCTGTATTTATAGGTCTGAAAGTTTGTCAAAAGGTGTGTCTACACTGTAGAATTATTCCAGTTTATGCCACTGCTTTGGCTCAATGCTACGTGATCCTGGGAGTTGTAGTTTTGTAAGGCTTTTGGCTTTCTCTGTTAAAAAAAAAAAAGCTGGGGCCTTTCCAAACGACAGCTCTCACGATCCCATAACATTGAGGTAAGATTGAGGTAAGATGCATAAATTGCATTAATTCACAGCTACGCAAGTATATTAAATAAGACACCGAAATCCCATATCTGGGAGTGATCTGTCATCCACATAGAACTTCCTATGAATTTCATAGGGTTTTTCCATTTATAAGACAAGGATGATGGTTTTGCAAGTTGTCTCCTCCGAAATAGGGCCGATGGGATTCACTGGCTTCAGGAAGGTTCCTCATTTTGGACTGCAGCTCCCAGAATCACACAGATCAGGCAATTATGGGAGTGGTAGTCCAAAAGGATCCTTGTCCCGTCAGACGGGATCCACTGCTTTCAGGGTCTTCCCTTGGGGTTTGTCAGCAAAGTGGACCAGGAAGGGTACTGAATGGGGGTGAGGCGCCCCCCTCACCAGACCTCTAGGATCTTTGCCAGCTTCTTGCTGTTCTTCAGCTCCAATGAGGCGTTGAAGAGGCATCCATAGCCAGCCGTCATCTCCTCCGTCTTCTCCGGGAGCGAGGCCTTGAAGTGGAGGCTGCGCAGCCGGGTCTGATATTCGGGCACCAAGAGCATCTGCAAAAGGAAGGGCATTTGCAATGGTCATGGATGCAAGACCTGAAACTCAAAACAGAGGATGCACTGCGAAACACACTGATGGTGGCCTTTGGAAAGCTATGCATCATGGATATCTCTCCCCGTCAATTTTGACATCATCGTCATCATCATCATTATTATGTTTATTTATACCCCACCTCTTCTCTCCAGAGCTTGAGTTCTGCATCCTTGGTTTTATTATATTGCACATGCAGTCCCCAAGTTACAAACAAGAACAGTTCTTTAGGTTTGTTCTTAAGTTGAATTTCTGAGACATCTTCCTTTAGG